CACGCGGCGCCGCGCGGGCCCGCCGCAGACACGGGCCGCCCGCGCCGTTCCCATCCCCAGGACACACAGGGACAGCCCCCGGGGCCCCTGTGACCTCCCCGCGCCCGCCGCCCTCGGGGCCCAGGGCGCTCACCGACGGCGCCGCCGAGACCGGTGCTGGCGTAGGCTTTGCGGTGGCACTCGGTGCCTTCGGGGGTGTCTGTGTACTGCTGAAGAAGCCTCTTCGCCATGGTGATGCACCCCCGTCCCACACGGCCGACCCAGCCGGCACCGGGAACCCAAGGACAGCCGCCGCAGGCTCTCGCGAGACTTCCTGGGCGGCGCGCGCAGCCTCCCAGATCCACCGGCCGGCAACAAGCGCGCAACTTTATTGAGCACCGCAGATGGACACGGGCCGCGCGCGCGGGCCCGGGGAGGGCTTGGCAGAGGGGAGCAGCGCGCGCACCCCCCCAGTCCTATTCCCATAAGGGGAAACTGAGGTCGACCGCGATCACCGAAGGCAGGCTTCGCTCCTCTCAGTTCAGGGAGTGCAAGGTTAGCGATGGTTCGAGTACCGGAGGCGGGGCCTAACCTAGGGGCGGGACTGCAATAGAAGCCAGGCCTATCTTCTTAGACTAAGAGGCGGGGCGGGATTCCGCTTGATAGACATAACTGTGGGGCGGAGCATGGCAAAAAATGGAACCATTCTCAGGGCCAGAATCTGCATGGGCCGTGGCTTGGCCCGGTGGCCGTCCCCAGAGTCCAAACCGCGTGCAACTGTTTTGGGGCGTGGCCAGGATCGAGGGTGGAGCTTAGTGGAAAACTAACCAATCCAAATGCCGGGACCTTAGAGAGACGTAGCCTATGCCCAACCTGTGCTTGTCTAAGCTCTGGGCCACGAAGTATGCACACGACGTGGGGGCGTGGCCGGCACCGGAGGCGTAACTCGATAGGGACTTGGCCAATCCAGGCCTGTGCAATTGCCCAAGGGGCGTGGCAGTGTCCCTTAAAAAAAGTCAATAGCGTGGACCTGAGAGAAAAGCATCTGGCTTAGGGGGCGTAGTCAGAGTTGTTGTTCTGCGTGTGGACCAATCCTGGTGTTAGTTTCTAAGTAGGGCGGGGCCTGCCTCGAACGTGTGACCAATCCTGTTGTCAAGGGCTGAGTTGGGAGAGCTGGGGGCATGATCTGTCAAAACTTTGACCAATAGTGGAGCTAGGCCAGCCCAGGAACGAAGTTACCGGGTGCCGGAACCAGGGAGGATGTTAGCGTTTGAAGAGGGCGCGACCTAGCCTCGGGGGCGTGGCTAGTGGGGATCCTGGCCAATCGCACCGTGGTGTTGAGGGACGTGGCCCATGGGGGGCGCAGCCTGTGCCGGTTCCGGGCCGCCCGGGGGCGTGGCCGGGCCTGGACTTCGGCCGACCGAGGCCATGTCCGCGCCGCCGGCTCTGCAGATCCGCGAGGCGAACGCACACCTGATGGCCCTGCACCGGCGTGTGGCGGAGCTGGAGGCGCAGCTGGACACGGCAGAGCGCACGGTGCACGAGCAGGCCGAGCTTCTGAGCCGCCACGACCAGCAGCTGCGCGCCGCCCTGGACGAGCTGGGCCGCGCCAAGGACCGGTGAGGCCCGGGGCGGCAGGGTGGACTTCCCGGGGGACGTGGGCGGAGGTGGAAGCGAGATTGCGAAAGGAGGAAGCGCACGGAGGCCCGTGTGCTTTCATGGAGGATGGACTGCTGGTGGGCATGAAAAAACAATCCGAAAACTCGAGGGAGTCCTGAGTATGTAAAGTTGAGAGCTGGAAAGCCACAAGTGTGAATTTCTAATTCCAAACACGCCCACCTTTCCCGAAGGGGAAGTCTGCTGGTGCTGATGGCCCGGGACCACCAACCCTGTGGTGCAAGCACTGGGAGCCATGGCCAAGTTCTAGAGCGAGGGAGGATACCATCATTCCAGCATTTTTTAATAATTATTTTATTTTACTTATTCATTCATTTATTTTAATTTGACCAGAGAGAAACAGAGAGAGGGAGAGAGAGGAAGTGAGAAAGCAAGCCAGCAGGTCCGAGACTTGAACCACGGTCAGCCATGTGGGAGTGTCCAGCGCCTCAACCACCATGCCACCTGCTGGTCCCCATTCCAGCATTTTAAAAAATGTTTGTTTCTTCCGAGAGAGAGAGAGAGAGAGAGAGAGAGAGAGAGACAGACAGACAGACAGAGACTCACTCTGAACAGGGTCCTCTGTAAGACAGCCAGTCCACTCCCAGCAGCGAGAACACCAGCAGGTACAGAGAGGTGCTGAGATGCGACCAGAGACCTCTCCGTGGGGGTCCAGTTACATGCTGCACCATCATCCAGCCTGTATCAGCTATTTTTTTGAAGAATTCTTGGGGAACCAGCAGTTAGCGTAATGGCTATGTCGCTGGACTCCCATGTAGTCGACCGCGGTTCGTGTCCCGGACCCGGTGGCTTAAAACTCACGCCGGGCGCGTGTGCGTGCGTGCCCAAGATCCCGAGAGGAGAATGGAGGAGAAGGGATTGCGGCGTGACCATCCCCCCTCGGGGGTGATTTCTCGCTTTCTGTCTCTGTTGTCTCTCTCTGTCTGTCTGGCGAGCGCACGCGCCCTACAGTGAAAATCTCTCCAAAAAAAAAAAAAGAATTCTTTTATTTAACTTTATTGGTTTATTTTGTTTTATATTTGTATTATTTTTTCTTTTTTAAAATAATTATGTTATTGGGACCAGCAGTTAGTGTAATGGCTA